TATTAAATTTAGGAGAAAGCATGTGAAGGATCTGAACAGAACAGAACTGACATAGCAATTCCATGCCAATAAGATTTTCAATATAGATCCAGCTGCATTCGGTTACCTATATGTGTATCAAGTAATGAAACACAGCTAGAAAGGCGAAATAGATAAAAGCATAAGACCCTCGTTCCTTTCCCCAAAGCACACTGAAAGATATATAACAATGGACACACATTTTAATTTGCTTGGGACTGAATCAACCTTGTCAACCATATATTTGCACACACACATAGGCTGTAGCAAATTTGAAGGAAATGCTGGAGGGAAGGACATTTTGGCAGGTGAAGAAAAAATGAACATTTATACACAGTGCTCTGTTCAAAATTCTACTCGATTATTTTGGAAAACCTTTATTTATTTATTTATTTATTTAACCAGTTCTGGAGTTGAAATGCCTATTTTCAAATATTACACTTTGAAGGAAGAGGGAAGGAAGTTTAACTATTGTGTTGAATCCCAGTAAGGAATTACAGTTCTGGGGAAGCACTATATTCTACTAGAAGTTTGTGTGGCAGTAGGTCCATAAATATGCCAAAAGAGAAGGTGCTTTATGGTGATATTGCTAGTGATAATGAAGGAAAATATTAAGTAAAAGTTTGTAAGGGTTTTAATTTCCTGTATGTACTGTCAATGAATGACATCACTAGTTATTGGCTAGATAGGGAATTGTTTATTGTTGCTTTAAAAAGGCTATTGAATTAGTTCATTTAATTTAAGATTGTACTTATGAGAGCTGAGTGCTGAGATAATTAAAATTTCACAAAGATAAATTAAGCAGAGATTATTTTGTGAAGCAACATTTTGCTTTTCATTATTTAGATCAGTTTAGCTACATAGTGAATAAATTCAAAGCAAAAAAAACAACAAACCTATCCAGAATGTGCTAAATAAAATGTGCAACATAATGAATAGACTCAGCAGTTTTCCATTTCACTTTACTCAGAGATATGAAATTGCCCAGTGCCTGCCTTACATATGAAAAATTGATGTGGACAAAGTATTTTACCTTGAAAGTGTGTCATTAAATTGTCACAGTAAGGGCTTCTCTGAAAATCCCTAAATAGGTCCCGCAATAACTTCCTTCTGTAATTCAGGTGTGAATAAATGCCTCACTTCCCATCCTATAAAACATTCTGCATCTGACTAGTTCCAAGGGGGATTTGCTTTGGAATGTGCTCATGCTTAAACCTGCCTGTACGAAAGGGCAGGTCCTTTGGAACAAAACAAAACCCAGATATAGTTTTTTTTAATTCACATCTCGCCTTTCCTCCCGAAGTACCATAGCTCTACGGATGCTTTGTTGTAGTTTAACAAATTTTGTACTGGCTCAGAATGTCCTCTGAAATGACAGCCATTGCACACTGAAAGGATCATGTGAATAGGCACTTAGGAAGCTAGATAATTGTCTCCCGCCTACCTCACTCTTACCTATTCTGATCTTACATGTGAGTTTGTCTTCCTCTGAACAACATGTGCTTCAACTACAGGTTTGCTTTCCCTCCCCCCCCCCAAAAAAACAAAAAAGATTCACCCTTCTATAGCATAATTCTTTTTTGGGGGGTGGGAATGGAAATGTCATGTTTAGAAGGACTATTACAACCACATGACATTTTCAAAATGCATCTGTTTAATACTCCTTTAATGAAGAAAGCTCCACAGCACAGGCTCTTTTTGTTGATAGGCAGTATCAAATACATGAATTTTTCACAAAAGTGAGCACAGACAACAAATCTACTCCCCAAAAGTCAGAATAAAAACTGCAGCAGCCAAACAGTGCTCATGTGTCACACACTGAATCACAGAGCCAAGAAACAGAAGACGACCTATACCAACTGTCAGTTGTGCCGCAGGAACAACCTCCACGGATCAGTCGGCATGGTGTAGTGGTTAGAGTGTCAGACTAGGACCTGGGAGACCAGGGTTCAAATCTGCACTCTGCCATGAACACACTGGGCGACCTTGGGCTAGACACTGCCTCTCAGCCTAACCTACCTCACAGGGTTGTTGTGGGGATTACATGGGGAGGGGGAGAACAATGCACACCACCTTGGAGAAAAACGCTATCAATAAATCTCAGGGACTGTAGCTGAACTGCAAAAAGGTGTTTACAGAAGAACTAGTTCAAGATGACCAATGCCAGACAGAAAAGCATGTATAAAATAAGTAGCACATAATTTCTGTTAAACTTTGAATGTACATTCAAAGTTTGAGCTCCATACCTTTTGCACTGGACCACAAAAATCTTGCCCCTTTTCCTCCCTTTTTTTAAAAAAACTTTAAAATATTTTTAAACTTCTGTTACAGGTTGACCAGGTGCATTACAAAGCTGGTGCTGGTCAAACTATAGACATTTGCCTTCTTGTAAGAATAATCAATACTAATCAAAAGAATCACCAGCACTAGTCAAATCAACTAAATATTTTTGAGATATTCTTCCCTTTGGTGATTATAGATAATACAGTAGATTACATAATGACAAATAACAGGCATCTTGTGCATGGACACACAATATGCGGTCTAATAGTGTTTTAGATAATTCTTTTCCAGCCACAGAGAGGACAAATTTGGAACATCAACACACCAAAAGCTTATCAAAGCGCATTGACTTTAATACAGGTGAGTACTTTCAAGGAGATGAGAACTCTTAACATAACAGAAGTATGGAGAAAATACTTTATCCGGTCAAATTGTTAACAATTTAAAGTATCCCCCCCCTTTTGGCCCAAGGTCTAATTATAATATTAAATTTCCACATACAATTTCCACGGAAGTCCAGCTGATCCTGTAAATATTACTAACCTGCACCAGAAAACATTTCCCCGAAATTCCTTGGCAAACATCTCACCTTACTCTTGCAGCTGATACAAAACCATGTTTGCATACAGCCTCTGGGATAGAACAACAACCGAGACAGTCCATTAACAACTAAATTAAACAGAAATGGAGTTGGTAGACATTCCTGTTTAACAGTATTGGTAGAAGGAAGAACCCCAGCAGTTTCCCCTTTATTGGTGTAGTCTCGCTGCTGAGCCACAAGGTGCAGTGGAGTGGAAAGCCAGCCAACCAGAGGAGTCTCTGAGGTGTACTTGCCTGGAGGCAGAGTCAGCATCCTAGGTCCAGTCCTAGGGTTGGGTGAACAGCAATCTACATGGTCAGATGCTCCAGGGGTCAGGTAATCCAATGATCTTGGGGTCAAGACCAGCAGAAAGCAGCAAGGTCATGCCAGGAACTACAAGCATTGCTATAAGCATCTGACTGCTGGCTCTGCTTAAGAAGGCTGAAGCCAGCTGGTTCTCATCAGTGCCTTGAAGGCTGATCAGCTGCAGGTGAACTCACTCTGCCTTGTTCCCCTTCAGGCTGCTGTTCAGCAGGAGAAGCTGACTCCTGGCCCATGACATTTATGAACAACTGGTTTGGTAGTTGTGACTTTTCTGATCACAGTAAATAAATATCTACTGACACTGATACGCCATAGTTTTTACACATTTCCTCCCAGTTTATATATTAAATGAGGCAAGAAGGCTTCCTAGACTCCTTAATTAGTTGCAAACCAGATGATTCAGTAAAAAGTGCTGGTCAATCCTACTCTTGCCATTTCCACAGGCTTGTACTTCCCTGACGAAATTCATTTCAGCCCATTCTTCTAGATTGTGCAATAGCAAGCGAGAGTTTGATTTAGAAACAATGTTTAGCAGACTAAGTGACCTTTATTCTTGGTGTCAGATTTATCACCTTTTAATATATATACTCATCAGTGATCTTGCTAAAAATCCTTAACGTAGACAAACAATTTCACTAGAATTAGTATGCACCATGTAAGATTGATGAAAATGAACTGAAGGGTACATATCTCTCCTAGGTCACAAGTTCAAAATGCTTCTTTCAGCTTCTGTGTATATGAATGCGTTAGTCTGTGGCAGCCACATTGTTGTTAGCTTGGGCTGAACTGTGCTGATTATGTAGCCAACTACACTGGTTCAATTTAGCATGATTTGGATTTATTTATTTTTTTACCTTGTTGCAGCTCTGAACATACCGTAATTTTCGCTCCAAAACACACACTTTTTTGCTCCTAGAAAGTAAGGGAAAATGCCTGTGCGTGTTACGGAGTGAATACACTCGACCGGAGCCATGGCTGCCGTCAGTCAAGCAAAGAAGGAGCCGCTTGCAGGGCTTCTGTCCCGCTTTGCGTGGCTCCAGCTTTGCTTGCTTTACAGCCAGGAGGAGGGGGAGGAGCCGGGGAGGAGCCGGGGAGGAGGGAGGGAAGGAGAGCCATGGCAGCAAAGCGGGCAGCAGCCGCTTACACGGGAGGAAGGACAGACGGGAGCCATAGCGAGCCGGGAAAAGTGTCGCGTAGCCAGCAACAGCTGCTACAGCCTCTGCTAGCAAAGGTCCGTGCGCTCTCTAAATGGAGCAATGTCCCTTCTCCCCTTAAATCCCTCTCCTGCATCATTAGCAGCTTCCTTCTCCACCCACCCCACGCGTGTTCCTTCTCCCCTTAAACCCCTCGCCTGCATTATTAGCAGCATCCTTCTCTACACAGCCCATGTGTGTTCCTTTTTTTTTTTTTATAATTTTTTAATTGGTTTTTCACATTTTATAAAGACATAACACACACGTAAAAGACAAAGACAAAAAACATGTATAATTTCAAAATCTTACTTTCTTAACTTTGGTCCTTGACTTCCCCACCCCCTTCATACATCCCAATTCCCATAATTATGTCAGCAAGTTATTATTTTACCTCCTTACCCTGTTAATATTACATCTTTTGTAGAAGATTAAATTCTATCCTAAGTTGGGCTCAGATTCCCTTCCATCGATTTCCCATTTTTTATTAAGCATCAATCATATTGACTAGACCCAAAAATCGTAAGTGTTTTTAAAATTCTATTTTCCCCCCCCTCCCATCCCCGGTTCGTCCCTTCCCAAGTACATTTCTACAATAACAGTTCTTAGCCTGGATTTCTCACATCCGAGGCCTTCAAGTCTCTTTCAGTCCCTCTCCGCCGGTTTTGTTGGTAGTCCTTTATGTTGGTCTTCGGATCTCGAAGGAGTTCTGTCCCAGTCAAGCCAGATTTTCTTCCCACAAGAAAACTTAGAGACAACTGCTGCAAAAGTTCCACCAGTCCTTCATATTCAGAATGGAGGCCCCCATCATATTTCTTCTTTCTTTTAAGTTCTTGAATTCCAAGTACTCCAGGGGCCTCCTCCTTCATCTTTCGCATCTTTTGCAGATTTGTAATCCATGTAATCCAAGGGTCTTCTTGTTTATAATCCACATGTGTAGGCTTCTGGTTGGTACTTTCCATCTGTGCTTTCTCCTTTCCTTGTTTAGTCTCCTTCAATTCTTGAGATATCTGTTCCGGTTCAGCTGCAGATTTTTTCTCATTCAGATCCTCAATACATTCAGCAGAGCTGCTTATTCCAGAAGTCAAGGTCGTAAGTTGTTTATTCATAGCCAGACTCTGCTCTTGTAAAGTTCCCACAAAGTAACACATTCTTTCTATTTCAGCTAGTAAATTTCCATCCGCAGCCATTGTAATGTCTCAGAATTCCCCTAGAGGGAATCTGGTTACTTAGTAATCTTTTCCCAACAGTCCTTTGCCTCGTTCTTTGTTTCTTTGTTTCGAACCACTTTAATTCAATTGTATCACATTTAGTCCAGGGAGATCTTAAATAACACGCTTTTTACTTTAAATTGCCCGCTTGACAGCTTTAACAGCTGTCAAACTCCTTTCCTCTTCAACAGGCTCAAAGGCAGGACGCTCCCGGGCCCGGAAGGGGGGTTACACACCACAAGAGAAAACTTCTAAAATTCCACTCTTACACTCCAGCTCAAAACTTCTTTTATCAAATCGTGAAAGTTAATGTCTTTTTAACTCACCCCAAAGGGGTAGACTCTCCAACTTAGTTCTCCTGCTATTGCTTTAAATCGTCTGCAGAAGGGGGGGGGTGCGGACTTCCCTTTAACACATCCCCCGGTCGTATCAAATTCACAGATAGATATTTTAAAGTCCGAATTCCAATCTACTCACGGGTTGCTTCGTTTCGAGTTCCGAATTTAAGGCACTATGTCAGTGCTCTGCAGCCCTGGCACACGGCTCCGCTCGGCTGGGGTGGCGGTCTACTCCCAGCACCACGCCGCTTCCGTACCCTCTCCGTAGCCTTTACAAAGGCTCTTCGTGGGTCGGGCGGGCGCATAAGGTGCCCACCGAGTCACCAGGTCCGCAGGCATCCGCGCCTGCGGTTTTTGAGGGTCTCCGCGTCGCCGTCGCGGCAAGACCCGTCCCCAGCGGAGCCGATTCCCTCCGGAGCTCGGAGAGAATCCGCCATTAGCTGTTCGCACCAACCCGGAAGTCCATGTGTGTTCCTTCTCCCCTTAAACCCCTCTTCTGCATTATTAGCAGCATCCTTCTCTACACAGCCCATGCGTGTTCCTTCTCCCCTTAAACCCCTCGCCTGCATTATTAGCAGCATCCTTCTCCACACACCCCACGTGTGTTCCTTCTCCCCTTAAACCCCTCTTCTGCATTATTAGCAGCATCCTTCTCCACACACCCCACGCGTGTTCCTTCTTCCCTTAAACCCCTCTTCTGCATTATTAGCAGCATCCTTCTCCACACACCCCATGCGTGTTCCTTCTTCCCTTAAACCCCTCTTCTGCATTATTAGCAGCATCCTTCTCCACACACCCCACGTGTGCTCCTTGTCCCTTGAATGCTTTTCCTTCCCTCCCCACTTAAAACGTGGTTACAAAGCACGGATCCACATGGATCCTCAGGATTTTTGCACTGGGTCACCCCAAGTTCACCATCAGATCACATAGCATATCCATGGCTACAGCCTGCACCAAAAAACACACATGCACCCACTGTTTCATGGGGCTGCAATGGCGCAAAAACGTGGTTACAAAGCATGGATCCGCATGGATCCTCAGGATTTTTGCATTGGGCTACCCCAAATTCACCGTCAGATCACGTCTGTGGCCACAGCATGAACCACAAAAATCATACATCCACTGTTTCGTTTAGAATATTTTTTTCTTGTTTTCCTCCTCTAAAAACTACGTGCGTGTTATGGTCAGGTGCGTGTTATAGAGCGAAAAATACGGTAACTTCAAAGCAGAGATAATGTTTTAAAGTTACTGTTTCTAAAGCACTTGCACTCATCACCTTTCTGTGTGGACAAAACCTCTGAAGCAATTTATTTGTTAAAAGACCAGGCTGTAAGGCAAGCACAAAGAAAAAGATTTTTACTAACTGATATGGCTTTTTGCAGGGTTATAAAACCAGTCAAATAAAACAGCTTTTTAAAAGTCATATACCTGAACAGAGCAGCTTCTATTCAGTGACACTGTTGTATAAGATGGAATTTCATACAATGGCTACAACCAAATTACAAACAATCTCAGAATATATGCAGTTGATTCAAAAAATAGTGAAAAAAATGGCAAGCATCTTTTATTCCACCTCAGCAACCATAATAGAAATGTAAAGCTACTGATAATATAAATCGGAATGCAAGAACAGCTGTGTTATAGTAGCAAAGAGCTTGCAGTTTAACTGCTCAAGATTAATATATTGGCTGCATTTAAAAGGTGGATAAAGTTTTGAACCCCATTCCTTTCCTTAGGGGCACATCACCACATACACCTTTGGCATTGGGTCCCCAAACACCAAATAAATCTTAGAAAAAGTTATGTGGGTCAATGACCCTTTGAAGAAAAAAAGTTCCCCAGCCCTACCATTATCTTCTCTTAATCGATAATGTGAAGCAGCTTGTGCGAGAGACTCCATGGAGGATTGCGCCTCTCTTCTGGGACTGCCTCTCCTGGTATGTCCCACAGAGGAACTTACGGTCTTCAAATAAAAGCATCCTGAAGGTCCCAGGCTACAGGGAGGTTAGGCTGGCCTCAACTAGAGCCAGGGCTTTTTCGGCTGTGGCTCCAATCTGGTGGAATGCTCTCTCACAAGAGACTAGGGCCCTGTGGGACTTGACATCTTTCCGCAGGGCCTGCAAGACGGCGCTGTTCAGCCAGGCCTTTGGTCGGGGTTCAGTCTGACTCCCTCTCCCCTTTCATAAGAACTTGCATGAAAGTGGCCTCCCAATTTTTCTCACAGGCCCATATAAGTTCAGCACAAACAGTTGGGCCTGATGAGCATTTAAGGTCCCCAACCCTAATCTGTGGATTGCCATCTGATTGGATTTTATTCTGATCCTGATCTGATTTGAGGATGTATTTTAATTGATTGTCTGATTTTATGTTAATGTGTTATACATTTGATGTTAGCTGCTCTGAGCCCGGCTTCGGCTGGGGAGGGCGGGATATAAATAAAATTATTATTATTATTATTATTATTATTATTATTATTCTCTGGGTGCAATGGCAGCCTTATTTATTGACAGACCGATGACTGCAAAACATAACCACCAAATCTCCTCAACAGGCTGCTAACTTCACTCTAGTCTCCCACTCTAGGCTTGCTTTCTATGGGCAGGCCCAAGATGTATGGAGCTACCTCAGGCTGCCAACAGCCATATTTGTCAGGCTTCAGGGAACCTGATCTTCCTCCCCCATGGCAGGCTGCTAGCAACAGATAGACAAGAAGCTCTTATCAAGTTTTTTATTCAATATTCACAGAGAGAGGCTTAGAAATGCTGTCTCTCCAAGTAATGGTGTTACTTCGAGTAAGCTCCACCCCCCTTCTCTTCTCAGTCGTTAACAGCCCCAGCCCCCTTATGGAGGCTGCTTAAGGCCATTTGTTCTTAACTCTCTGCTTTCCTACTTTCACTGCTTGCCAGGTTCTGGGAGAAGGAAGGGTCTGGAGTTCCAGTGATAACGTGTCAGCCAGCTACTCTGGCTCTGCTTCTCCCCTCTCCTCTTCTCCTATTATCTCCCAGCTTTGTCCCTCTTCTGTCTCAGAGCTGTGACCTTCTGAAACCCCTGTTGTAAATGTATACTGACTTCCTCTTCTCTGGAAGTTTCAGGAGGAGAGGGGACAGTCTCCGCCATTCCTTCTCAGTCCAGCCCCTGACAATATCCCGCTAAGCAGGCAGCTGCACTCTTCACACCCAGTTCCAAGTACAGTAGGTTTGGTGAGTCTGCCAGTGGGTTCCAAGGATGGAGAAAGGGCACCACCCACAGTTCTCTCTCCAGCTTCTGTATCTTCTACTCCAGCTACTTTTTAGGAGCTGCTTTAGTAGGAGCAGATGGTAAGAGTTAAGCTGAGAATAATTATAAAGAAATATGGAAATGATAAAAAAGGATGAAATCTAGTATATATTTGGGAAAGTGGTTTCTCCATTTGTTCTCTATAGTTTTGGATGCCTCTTGAGATATCGTGACCAAACTTGGCATGAAGGTTCCCAAGGTGGGAGCAGCAGTTTTCATCTACACTTGGATGCTGGACACCATTTCAAATCAGGATGGTAGACCAAAACAACTTAACTTTTAACTGTTTGTGTGATGGATAGAGATATGGTAGATTAACACATCCAGGTCCACATAAATGATTGTGGATGTTTTTCTAGAGATGATTGTGTTGATAAGAGGCCTGATGTGAGAAGCTGTCTTCAGGATACTGGCCCAAAGATACAAATAATATTTTCAGTCATCCCTTATGGCATAGTTAAGATATCAGAATGTTCCCAGTGTTAATTCTAAAACATTTGTAGTTGAGAACACATAGCCATACTGAACATCTATGAACCTAGTGCATGTAGAGCAAAATGAATTAGAAAGTACTGAAGGAGACATGTAATTTACAGTGTTTCTGGGTCTTTAAGGTCACACTCACTTAAAGAGCAATTGTTCATCTTGGCACTTGCTGCTTCAAGAGTAGTTGACAGTAACAATATCTTTGAGTCAGTAATAATGATACAGTTCCTCTCAAGAACCTGCTCGACCTAGATACAATAACTTTAATGCATCTTCCAATTTACTAGTTTCTAGACTGGCAACAGTATTTTTAAAGAAGTGTCACTTCTGCAGGAATATCCATAACCATTTACCATCAGCATATGCCTATGTCATCAATTACAATAGTTTTTATTTTTGATTACTCATTTTTCCAACATGATCAGTCTCCTCCAATGATCAGCACAGTATTCATTCCAAAGCTAGCAATTAACATTCTTATTGTCACACTTAATTTGAAATAAAGCATGCACTGATGGTTAACACCATAGCCGTGGTGTTCGTGTTTGTCCAATGTTGCCAGCAGCAGTCTCAATTTATCAGTTGTCAATTATATTCTCATGCCAATGATTTTAGGTTTTAAAAGCCATGACAGTTCTAGATTTAAGAAAAACCGAAGGGAAAATATATATTAAAAATGCTATTTTATAACTGAATCTATATTCGTTAATTCACAGTGGCCCTAAATAATGAATTTAATGTTCCAAACATTTTTTCCTTCTAAAATAAAGTTTCATTACAGCAATAATCCACTCTATT